AACTCTACATGGATTTTGTACTTTTAGAGCCAGACCATTTCGCTGATAACTGCACACCGCCTCGTATCATCTTGGCTGATCTAAGACCGCTCTTCACACGTTTGCAAGTTCTACCCCCTCTGTTCTATTCACACTGGGAGGCTTGGCGATTCCCACCGCCTCGGCCACCAGTCGCTGTGATGTGAATCTTAAACCCCATCTCAGGATGTCCATATTTCCTAAATCTATCCTATGCCCAGAGCCTGCCCTGCCATTGCCGAATCTTTGACTAATGCCTGGTATTCATCTGCGTTCCTCGGTGGTGTGTTAATGGAATGCTAATGCTTTTGTGTCAAAAGCGAAACGTTACCCAGCAATAAATCCACCGATTGTTTACCAAACTCCCATGAAACGATGACTTCCCAATCGGTCCCAAACACTTTTCAATTGATTGTATATGATCTCCTTCTATTGCTGAGCCCACCAACACGTTGTACCCATATTTCCCAGGTTAAATTTGTTCCAGTTACATTTCGTTAAATGTAAAGCACCATTTTCAATCAACTAACTGAGATACCCGTTAATCCTTACCGTGTGAATGTTATCGTACTTGAACGTTTCAGTACCGCATAGTTTTGTATCACTAGCCGTATTGGTCCACAGATGTATTTCCGGTAATCACTTTCCTGCTGCTATCGGGTCACTGCCCTACTCATCAGCAAGCTTCTTACCGGTGAATGGTCAGCGATAGCACCTATATCGCAGATGGACTCTCGCCCATCAAGGATCACCGAGACAGAACTTTTCAACTTACGTTGTTACCAGTGACCAGTATTTCCATAAATCAATATATTTACAAAAAATATTTTCAGTGGCAGCGGATCGGGTCCCTTTTCGTTCCCATGCAACCAAATGATTGCCTCCAAAATAACGAACACTATAATATTACTGAATGGCATCTGTCTTTTTGTGCATGGGTGCAGCCAAACATCACTTTTCTACAATGAATGGTAATCTTGATGCGTATGATCGGACCGTTTGCGGATCGTCGACCATTCGCGGCGAATACAGTACGTTGGTCTTGTAGCCACATACTGCTTGCAAGTATACTGTGAATGTCAAGCTGTTTTCCCTGCATATTTTTGCTTTATAACAGCTCGGTGCTAAAGCAGATGTGCAGGACAATAGCGGTTGCACTCCCCTGCACCTCGCAAGCGCGTATGATACGACCGGTCAGTTAGTCAAACACTTGCTCTCCCCGCTAGCTGGAATTTTCGCCCTGGCGTCTTGGCCACCTGCCTCAGAGGATCTTGCTGGGGAAGAATTTTCCGGCCGTGTTGTGGATAGTACGACTACTTGTGGCTTAAGTTCAGGCGAGGTAGGTTTATCATCTTGTGTCACCTCCTAGGCTTGAAGCCCTGCCTGTCGGAGCTACAAGTCATTGTCTATCCCTACGGTCCTCCATTCCACGTGACCGCATAACTCGCTATTAATTTTATAAGGTCTAAATGCGTGCGTTTTCAGGTTTATTCTGGCATTGGCTAACCGACTGTGTTACTCAACACAACAGTCCCCGCTGTTCTCTCCCGTAACAGGAGTGTTAGGTACGATAAGCTCGAAGAACTGTTGCTTTTTCGTTATTTTATCCCTCTATCTACTCACCACGATTGGCTCACTGACTAATTTCGTCAACTGTTGACAAACCAGTCAGTTATAACTTTCGAAATGGTGTTGTGCCTCTTCGCCCGCTCATTTTTTTTCAACGAACTTCCAGTTAACGCTACAACTACTTGATGACAATCGCGTGAGAGCTGAACTGCCCATACAGCCAACAGCTCCTACCCCAAGTTAGGCTCGACAAATTACGTTGATTTCAACGGAGGGCATGAAGATTTCAAAGGTAAATCAATGGGACCACCAATTTCCGAATTCGAATTCGAAGTTACAGTGCGAAAAGTGGAACAGAAAATATGAATTTCACATAGTTGAATGAGACGTTTGCCATTATAAAGAAGGATGAACTTGAACGAATGAGCTGATGGACCTATTACACGACGTTCAAATCACAGCGAATACGGAGGTGAACGGCAAACTGGCTTTTTTAGATGTACCTGTTAGTAGGCCACAAGACACCAACCACAACCCGAAGGACACAAGGTCGAAGCGTTCACAGATCAGTCTCATAGCTACTACGGCAAAGTCCGCCTTATTTATCTCAAAAAGTGAAAGGACGTCGTACGGCTGAGCGCTTTCGGACTCGATCACATCTTCACAAAAAGACATAAAACACGAGTAATTTGTAACATTTCGTAGATGTCTCTTAGAATTCATTCCCAACCTCTCAAGTACACCAAAGAATTCCCCTCAGGATTCGGGAAGCGAATAAGACCAATTTAACAAATTCAAAAGAATGAAAACTAAAGTAACCCACGCAAAACTTAGATTCCGGGATTTTAGTGTTCATCTCAGCAACAAAGTGGAATGAATAGAGCAGACACTATTCAATTTTTCATCACGTAACTAGAAACATAGAAGTCATGGTTTATTTCAAGAATTTCTGTACATGGCTCTCGATGGTGAATTCCGATGAGCATGGCCTTCCAGGTTGACAGTAATTTTGGCTTCAGTTAACTGTACCGGGCACAAAACGAATCTTTCGACTCTTCAGTGGGGAATTCATCCTGTGAATAAAGCCCATTTATGCTGAAAAGCCGAGAAACACTTTACAGGTGTTTCATAGTTGTTGGTAATCATCAGCTGTGCAGACTTCATGAAACTCAGAGTCTCGGTCGTGCGAACTTACGGTCAGTGGTTGAACATGTAACCGTTTGGCATTGAGTTGATGATCAGCAGTGTGATTAACTCTCACTTAGACACAGCACCACTCGTATTTTGAAAATATTCCTATGAGCTCAGAGAATGGAGCAGCTGTACAGTGATTCTGGGCTTTCCAGCATAGATTGGTCTCACTGACAGGATGAAGTCTGTACTAGAAGGTACAAAACATCCTCACACTACCGTCAATCTTTCGGATCTGTTTGATGACGTGGCTGCATGAGAAACCCGATGGTCATATATGCTTGGCCGCGATTTAACCTTCGGCCTTTTGAAGTCAACTGTGGTACTGTTCTGTACGGTCATCTACGCCCAGCCACGCTCTCCGACATGCATCAGTCCGTCCTGCTGATGTGGACAAGTTTATAGGTTCTCTGCTGTTAAGCAAGTGTTTGTATTTCACTGTCAGCCGTCCATTCGCTTCACTTTTTGCCAAATCTATCGTATGTGACCTGCTACGGAGATTCAAAATAATGTTAACATCTCGTGATATATCTTCCAACGAAATGAATCCAAGTGACCCAGTTCTTTGGACTAAAATAACTGAAAGCTGTGTAGAAAGGCCATTACTCCACATATGACATCAGTGTTGCTCAGCGGCACCTGTCTGCGCAGAATTTGGAATGGAAAGAAGTGTAGACGGGGACCTAAAAAGGAAACTGAGTTTTCTGGGTTTTCTAGGCTGCAATGCAATAAGTTTACATTTCGAGACCAATCGAGATTGGAAAAGAGTGTAGGAAAGGAGCAGCAGGTTCCATGGGGATAGGGCCGGAATCAACAAAGCGTGCGTAGTAGGTGAAGGAATGGTGGAGCATGCGAATCAAAATGGATTGACTTTAGCTGCGTTCAATGAACCCAAAAAATATTTTTCTGTAAGGTTGGCCTTCATTGCTGCGATGTAATACACTAGGTCATCATTAAGTTGATATGAGGCGGACATGTGGGAAGAATCAGTGTAGGAATTCGGAGGGTTGGGTCATCGGAAAGGGGTTCAGTAATTCAGAAACAGGGCAAATAAGATCACTGGTGAACGGTAGGAACGAGCGGGAAGGCAAATGGATCCTGTTGAAAGCCCTTCTCTGATGGGTTCCTAGTATGGACTTTTCAACAGTATCAAAATATTCAAAAAGCGTCTTCTGTCACTGCACTCTGTATTCCAGACCTAGTAGGAAGTCTCATAACCTGTATTCTGTCTTTGGCTTTATGAAGAAATCCCACCTGGTGTAAAACTTGAAAATAGGTTAGTTTTTCTGGTGATGAAGTTTGCCTGGTTTCCTTGAATTTGCTGTCCGTCTAAATTCGTATACTTTCCGCGATATCTGTGTGGGCTTTCCGATCGACTTCATTCCCTCTGAAGTTACAGCACGGTTTATGGAACATGAAACTATATATCTACCGTGTTCTGTAAACATAAAAAATGAGTGACACGTACGACTCACGACGTGGGCTTGCACCTGATTTCAGTCAAGAGTTTTTGCATCTTTGCTTGCCAAGCCTTATTGGCGGTGTCCGAAAAGTGTTTATTATAGATTGAATTGATAATGATCAAAAACAACAACATCAGTGTTGACACTGATGCTTCACCGCCGTACAACCATAAGGTAAGTCTGATTATATTTAAAAGCCCTAGAGTGGAGAGAATAGACGAAAAGTGGGTGAGGGAGCGGACCTGGTGATAACCTATCACAAGCATTCTCAGGTACCTATACCTTCAAGCGCCCAATCAAACAATCTGGAAGGAACGTCATTTACATCGATTAGCCGCTATTTATTGCAATGTTTCCAGCTAAGCACAGGTGGGGTCACGGGGACCCCATCCTGGAAGGTGTACAACGCCATTAACACCCAAGCTCTTCGTGCTCTCCTTCTGCCAAGTCATGCGTTGTCTACCTCGCGGAGATACGGAGAACAGCATTCGTCTTGGTAGACGATGTTTCGGCATGTGTAGCACATGACCGAGCTGCCGTAGTCGCTGATGTTGATGTTTTTTCCGATTGAAAGACCTGCCGCTCAACCAAACACCCGTTTTCTAATCACTTCGTTACTAAACGCTGACGCCATCCATAACCAGCCACGCTTCTGAGGCATCGGTGGTCGAAAACCTGAAGACGTCTCACATCATCTACCCGAAGAGGCCATGTCTCGCACCCATACAACAACACAGCCCTTACTGTAGCCTGGTACACACGACCCTTAAGAGCCAGTGAGATGCCTTTTTGACGCCACAAGTGACGCAAATTAGCAAACGTGATTCGAGCCTTTGAGATTCTTGCATCGACTTCACCAGGCACGCTTCCGTCAGAGCCAATAAAACTACCGAGGTATGTAAAGTTTTCCACAATCTCCAATGGGAGCTGTGGTAGTAAACTAACCCAATAACTGATGGCAGCGGTACCGAATATTGCTACCGGTGATGATGCAGTCAGGAGGGAGAAAAGCTGGTGCGCTGGTGATGGTGGTCAGTCTATTCAACAGGGCTATTCTTCAGGGCTGGTCTTCAAAGATGAGGGCGATGTCATCTGCGTATTCCAAATTAACAGGGCTCCCACCAACAACAATTTGAACACCGCAGTTTTGAAGACCTTCCAGCGTTCGCTTCATTGTTTCGTCAATGATACAGTTGAAGAAGAATGGAGAGAGTGGAATTTTTGTGCGCCTGCTTTAGAACAATCTGTCTTTATCTTACAAACTGATGAGCGATAGTAGGCCTGGTCGTTAGCATTTAGCCAACCAAGGGTGACTTAGTTTCTCCCACACCTATGTTTAGGCTACAGTATTTGCTCACGCGGTTTGTTTCGTTTCCACTTTTAGGTCCACTCGACTGGTTAGTTGTTTACGTCAACAGGATGTTGACAATGGTGTCCTCACAACCACTGTGTGGCCTTGTCCTCAAGTATGACCTCATGCTTCTTTTTATTCAGGCTATCCACTGTCTGACCCCATCACCCTCAGTCATGTTGCCTTGTTTTTTTGTCTGGCGGTGATGTTTCATTGTGTTTTTCTCACTTCGTCATTCTTACAGCCCATATACTCCCCGCTTCACATCGCAGTCAGCTGTGGCAATATCCAAGCAGTCAAACTTTTGCTTGGAGCATGCCCCACCGAACTTCTGCACTGCTACACTATCGGTTCATGTGGCAGTAGTGCGATGGATTTACGATCTGTTGGAAACCATTCTGTTACAAGTTCTCCCTCTCCCTTTTTGCTGGCTGCATTACGTGGAAATGATCAGATCATGAAGGTGTGTGATAAACGTTTCTATTGTTTTTTCTTCACTTTACTAGATGAAGCTAAACGACTATGGCCTTATACAGTTTGATCTGTTGCATTTTTGACACTTCTGAGTTTTGCTTAGTTTTCTTTCTCGGAATTTCACATCATCCTCTTGATACGTGGTGTCACTTAGTACGAAGAATTCCACTTCCCATTCTATCCCTGTTTTGATAGCCCAGATGAAATTCATGTGTTTGGAATTTATGGTCTCGCCTGTGATCTTATTCTCTGCATGGTTTTCCCCTTTCCTCATCTCCATTTTGGAGGTACTTGAATGAATATCAAAAATCCTTAGACTTTCGTTATATAATACCCTCTCAATCGCCCCATTCCGAATAGTCCAACAACCCTAGCGGCATTCGTTTCGTATTTGTTTTATTGTGCGCAGTTGCGAAGTTTGTTTTATGAGTGGTCAGTTCTTCAGGTCTAAGAAAAATCAACGCTACTTTTAAAATGTTTCTCGCTAGTGAATTTCCTGTCCATTTTTGTCAACGCACCCAGGTCCGAAATTGGTTTGCAACGCTCGCCCACGAGTGTCCCTTTCCACTTGCGTGATTTAACTGGTAGGCAGTTCACGCCTTCGTTTATCGCAGTTATACGCGTGTTACCGACTGATTAACGAAATTCGGAGGATACTTGCTCAGTGAATATCAACTGTCTTTGGCGTTTGTCTCTTTTCCCTCACGTTGTCTTTTTTAAATCAATTCGTCTTTCTCCATACTCCAAATATCCACGCGAATAAGGTCTGCTAAAAAGAGCAACTAACAACAACATTTTCTTGTCCCTTGAATGCGTCCACTGTAGCCTGAGTCGATCGCTGCTTACTTCCGGATCATTCGACGTTAGCTACCAGTGTAAACGTTATCCAGATTTTTCAGGCGGGCACATTTCACTCGAACACATGGTCCACAGCACCTTTGGTTCAGCATTAGTTGACGATAGGTTGTAAGCAACCATTTGCATGAAAACAACACCCATCACTAAAAAGCGTCTCGGTATAGATATCTGCAATTATCTACATAGATATAGACATAGATATATATAGGTAAAGATCTATAAGATCTTTATCCTCAACGTTTCAATAATGAAACTTCCCGCCTTCTCCCACTCTTCTGTTTCCCATTGACTGCGTTGTATTGGAAGCGTCACCTGATGTCCCCCTACCCCCTTTTTATACCCAACCGTCACTAGGGTATTACCTGAACTCTGCTGCGTTGGCAAACTTTCTCTAGTTAGTTGTGTTTTTTCTCCTGTTTTCCAGCCTTCTTCAGTTCAGTCCGAAGACAGCTTGTGTGCAGTTTGACTTTATCCACCATACCGGTCCTGTTCTTCATCTTATCTATCTGTCATCCCGATATAACTGTTTATTCACGTTCATACAGTACCTTCCTACTGTCTGCACAATCTGATATTCAGCACAAAATCACTCCGATTCGTAACTGTCAGCTCAGCTGTGCTTGCTTCATCCTAGTTGGCTTTTTCGCCTCCAGTATTTTATTAGTATGCATATAATTCAAACGGTTTGGGGAACATACCAGTAAACTTGATCATCGTTCCACGCCATTTCATGACTTCTAGATGCTGCTAGATGCTTGGACTCGGTCCAAAGTGTACGAGACACGGAAAGGTGAACCAACTCACACGCAGTGCGACCTATCTAGAAAACATGGAATTGCTGTGCTGGATCGCTACGAGTCTAGAGCCCTTCCCCCAGGACGTGTTGTTGACTCTGGTGGACATACCTGTTTACATTTGGCTGCCAATGCAGGTCATTCACATATCTGCCGTCTCCTGCTCAATAGCCGAAACGTGACGGGGACTCTGCTGCGCGCAAAGGACTCTGTTTACCGGTGGCATGCTTTGCATCATGCTGCCGCTCAGGTAAGACAACATACTTCTTTTCTTCCGATTGTCAACAATTAGATGGGCTCGCCGAAACAGTGTAGCCTAGCGACGCCATCAATTACTATAATGACTTTCGTCGCATTTGTGCTTGCACACTTGTTTCTCTATTATACCGTCGTCTTTTGATTATGCCGCCATCCGTAGTTCAGTTATAGTGCAGCTTGTCATTCAGAATAAGTGAGTCCGTTTTCACAATCGTGACGCCAGTGCTATTGTAGCTACCATGTGCTATTGGTTGTGGTGCTACCACACTGTGTGGATATGCACCCATTAGCCCACTTTAATGTCATCAAATAGGCTGAGTAATAAAAAAATAGTGCCTCCGATACGTGTTTGGTCGTTTGGCCGTAGTTGTTGCAACGCGTCTAATGTAACAGTCGAATAGTGCCGCCACAGTCTTCGTACGATATCACCAGAAACGAATGGCATGTACACCGTATACGCACGCAAGCCGTCGCGAACAAACAAAAGGCAAACATCAGTTAGTAATAAAGTAGAGACAACTAAACGATTCATTGTTGAGTGAGAAATTGCCAGTCATTCGTCTAACACCAAGACACTTCCCCTAATGCTATTTGATTGTGCTCCAAAATTTCTGGAGATAAGAGGAGTACTAATTCCGTGGCTTATTCAGATATCCGCGTTCTCAATCGACAATGAAAACTGCTGATTCTGGTGAGGTGTTGGCGGAAATCCTTTTTGTTAAAGAAAGCGATGACCGTTATTTAGCTAAAGCAAAAGTGGTCCGTCACATTGTTAGACCGAAGTGTTTCTGGTGTGGATTTAAATGAAATGCTCGACATCTTGGATCATCATAACTCGCCCCTTTGTTAACTCACCGTTTTTTCTAAAAAAAAAGGACAGGACTGCACTATATTTACATCCTTTTACCTATTCCTGTCTGGTGTATCAGTAGCATTGAAAGGTAGCTCCGATTATTGCGACTACAGGCTTCGTGGTTTCTAGTTCTTATGGGAATGACTGTACTGTGTATTGCCGCACGACGTCGGTTGCAGAACAAATTCCTTCAATTGACCTTAGCATGCGAAAAAATAATCTGGTTGGTCTGGTGAATAGTCTAGCATCCATAACGTGACTGGTAACCGATTTGTCATGGGTTTTGTTCTTTAGACCACTGATAAATATGACGGATAGTTGGCGCATTTCCTCCCCGGTTTGATTGTGTTGTTCTGCAGGTGTAGTCTGTGTTAGTTTCAGGCTGTACGTCATGGCTTTATGAGAAAAAAACACACCACTGTTTAGGTGAACAGCTTTCTGCTAATAATGATGACGTTAAAATTCCAGGTTGGTTAAACAGTGAACAAAATTCCGATGTGATCAACCCTTTTTGGTTGTATCTTCGTCGTGAAATTCAAGTGCACAATAAAATTTTGGATAGAAATCACACCTGAGATTACAGAAAACCTTGTGATTTGCATTGTTTAAATTGTTTTGTAAGATTCTAGGTATTCATAAAAGCAAATCCAACAAAATGAAAGGGCCATTTGCTCAGAGAAAATGGGGTAACCCGTACTCCTTTTTTAATGCCAGTGCGGTTTTGTAGTATTTCATGCACTGAAGCCGACAATCTGGTTGTTATTCTGACATCTTACAATCGGAAATGAGAATACATAACAAACGCAACTAGGGAACAGAACACATAGAGAACATAATATTTGTAATCCGTGCCTCAGTCAGTCACAGAGCACGCGATAACCGACCAATCAAGTTAGTTCTCTAGACATTCGAGACCAGGGCCAACACTTCTGTCCTGTACTTTACCTCACTGACTACAACATTTATGTCACAACATTGTTTCTTGACAGCAAATCACCTCGGATTCCTCGAGCTGTCGACTTGATAAACTTCAAGTCCATTTTACCGTAATGAACGACCGCCGTCCATGATAGTAGGGCAAAGTTTAACCATCCTGAATGCGATAGGATGTATTCAGAGTAGATTTTTACAAAGAGCCTGTTTTTTAATATTGTTACAGCTTAAGTTTTCGGAACTGCATGTATGCATGAGATAACAAAGTGTATATCAATTGAGTCTCCCGTGAAAACCAAATCGATTTGCAAATGAGTGCATTTCTCGAAAACAGTCCAATTTGGGTTCAAGTAGATCATAAGGTTGACGGAAACTCGGGGACTGCGCCTAGATGATGACCCCAAGAAGGGCGAAACCGGTCGTGGGCTGTCGAAGAGTTTTCAGCAACCTTGTGAGTAGTTTTTTTCGTGAAAATATACTGCTTTATCTCGAGTATCGTGCCAACTGAATAATGAGGCGGCCTGTATGCAGCACATTCAGTTGGGAGGCATCATAATTGAGAGATTCAATTGAGTCTCCCGTGAAAACCAAATTGATTTGAAAATGAGTGTATTTATCGAAAAGTGTATATCTGTTTATGGATACAGCCTGAAACGGAAATGGCTGAAACGAGCTCAGCAGCTTCTGCGATAATGTGAAAATGGGGAGTAGTAACTTCGTCTGCCACAAATCATCTACAGTACAAAGTATATAAAGTTAGAACGTCCCTACCGCGTACGTGTTGCCTGGGGCGTAGTGGTTTCGCTTACCCCTTGGCGACCAACCAATCAGTATTAGTTTTGTTCAACACTTGCTTGTTCCTACGTCACGCGCGGGCGATAAAGCGATCAGCAAAAAGAGAAGTAAAAGTACTCATGCAATGGACTGCTCAAGGCGATCTTCATTATGGAGTCTGGAAAGTTATTCTAGTAAAGGTGAGTCTCGAAGAAACTTAATATTCGCTTGACATAACGTGCGTCTCGTGTGGTTGTTTACAACTCTTCGACAGTCCAGTCTACTTAGGGATCATCGTGTGGGCATGGTCCCCGAGTTTCCATCAACCTTATTTTCTGTTTGAACATCTAATTAGACATCAGCGGCAAGATACACCCATTCGCAAATCACACTAATGTTAACAGGAGATAAAAGTTAATCGTGGTCAAGAAAATATTTAGCAATATCTGTACTGTCGATCAGTTCTCCGGATTGCACTTGCCCTGTGCATTGTTTCCAAGTATACTCTGAAGACGTCGGTTCAAGTTTATTGTTCGTTCCCACATTTCGAAAATTAGTGTTATTCGCGTATTCTGAAGTAGCTAGAATAGGAGATAATAGTGACAAGGGAGATGAGAGTTCCAATGGATATTCCAAGTTTACCATGGATGATCACAAACCGATTGCTTCTTTTTGGAGAGCAGCAACATGTAATTTTTGTGCGGCTTGTTGCGAACAAAATTGCGCTCTAATTGGTGTAACGGGTTCAAGTAATGTCCTAATTATGCCTTGCTGAACAGTATATGAAAGCTTCACGAGTGCTCATTCTCTACGAGCCAACGTTACTTGCTACTCTGTCTGATTGGTTCGGACTGTGCATTGGATTTCCAGCTAATGATTATCAAGTGAGCTTGACCATGAACCCACGTAGGTGCTTGATCTTGTAAATAAGAAACTCCACTCAGTATAGTTGCTAAACCGGCTAGCTGCCTATTATCTCGTGACCTTTACATTCTCTTCAGGGTCACGCAGATGTGGTGTCTTTGTTGCTCGAATACGCTGATTCCAGTTCAGATTGGGTATCCGTTGGCCCCACGGATTTTCTCTGTAAGTCATGTTTCCTCCTTACGAGGAGCTATGCATGTACTGTGTCATTTGTTTTTCTTGATTTCCCCGCTTTTATCCTTCTTTGGGCGTTCAGATTTTCATCACTTGTCACCTAAGACGGTTGAAGTACACTTCCAATTTGTTATTTACAGAACTCATAAAAACCCTACTGTGCATCCTTAAGATAGTGAAACCACTCCCAACTAAATTCTAAAATATTTGTTCTGAGAATATGCGGAGTCGCTCCGTCCTAACCAGTGGAAGACAGGTTAGAAACTAGCTCTGGGTTACATTCTGCATGATTTTGTGCTTCGTGGTCTCCATATGCGTGTCCTATTGCCGTTTTCAGTTTATTTGTACTACTGGGAAGACTGTTCTCACGTAATGGGCGCCTCGTCATTAACGTCTCACCGTCTTTTTAAAGGGTTTGCATCCAGTGTTCACTAGACTTGAGCAATGTAATGTTCCGAAAGCGTACAGTACGGATCTTCGCAGTTTCATGTTGGGAGGATATAATCCCCACTTGCACTGGAAAATAGAAAAAAATTAGCAAACAACGTTTAGATTCGACGGAACTGGAATTTCGAGCCACGAAAAACCCTGATTTTGCTTGTGGCTACGTGGGTTCCATGTTCTTTTGTCAGGTGGTGTTAGCAACAACTCATTTAAACCGTCAAGCTTGAATTTTTCCACATTTTAGTGTTACATACTTCTATTTCCGATATAAGAACTTGAACTACAAAAGACGGTTCGACTCATGAGCTCATCTACTTACCAATTTGGTTTTAATAGGAGGCTCACATGGAACCCTGCTGAATCTCTCTTTTATGCTGTTCGTAAGCAACTGAATATTCTGCACCAGGTCGCAACCTTATGAATAGTGTACTACATCTATACAATTTATCGCGACATTTCGAATATTGTACCAAGTGTAGCATTAGGCACATCCAGTTGCTTAAGAACATCATAAATGAGAGATTCAGCTGGGTTCCAGCTGAGCCTCCCGTCAAAACCAAATTGTTAGGCAGTCGAGTGCATACGTTGAATCTTCTGCAATCTGGGTTCAAGTAGGACATAAATTTGACGGAAACTCGGGGACTGTGCCCATATGATGTCGAAACCGATTGCGGGCTCTCGCACAGTTTTCAGCAACCTTATGAGTAGTATACTTCATCTGTACAAGCAACAGTTGTTCAACCTGGCCAATTTTTCCACCTCAGGAGCTCAACTACCTGCCCTTCATCTGTTAAATTATGTAACTAACAGCTACTTTGTTCATTAACGGAAATGAGCTTAGTGCTGAGAAACGATAGAATTCTATTTAGTCCTATTGTAACGCAGCAAACTTAAGTACAGGATGATCAGAAATTCACTAACAATAGGGATTCTTTCAATACAACTCATAAAGTCGATAAAGAGCATCGATAGCCCACTCCTGGTTTGGTCCTTGGGGTTCATTATTTATGTTTACTCTCCACATTTCCATTGGAGTAAGCACTCAGTTGCAAATTAACTTGCTGTTGACAGAAAGCTCAACTGAAATTTCCCTGAATCTTTAGCTCATAATATTCGTCAACGTAATGGGCAGTATCGATGTGTTGAACATCGAGGCGTGAAACATCTTTCCTGGGTCACGCTCAGTTGAAAAGTACCATAACCGAGTGAGTCAGGTGAATGTCACCTGCGTCCCCTGCCAACATTTCGGTTGCAAATCGAGCGTTTCGTTTCCATTTACAGAAACCATTACCTGCATCCAGAAATGCTGGGTTAGGTAAGTTCAGGATTGGCAAACAGCGATCTAGTGTTCATATAATTGAATTGGTATTCGCTAAGTGCCATACCAGTTACAAATCTCACTGTTTTGAAACAGGATGAGTTGTGTACGCAGTCATGGTTCTCTTGATGGGACTGACAGTTTGATCTCGCTTTGCTGGACTTCCAGGGTGGCACTTCAAATATACAGTTGCTTGGGTCTTTCAAATCGAGTACCACACTGAATAATCGTGAAAGTGAACAGGATTTGAATTCATCCTTGTAATTCATGCTCTGTGATTCTACTTTGTACTATTATTTTAATTTTTTTAGATGAAGTAGACGAGCATGGACGTACGGCATTAATGCTTGCCGCCCAAAACAATCATCCCGGCGTCATTCGCATTCTTTTGTCCTCTCCAAACTCCCGATCATGCAGTCACTCAAGGAGCAACGTCCAGGCTTCAGAAGAGCCACCTACGAATTGCGAGGTTAATGCTGTTGACGTCTACGGTCGGACTGCATTACACCGTGCTGTGGCCAATGGTCACGCTGAATGCGTCACATTGCTTCTTTCGGTGAGACCGTTAATTTTCGAGTCTTGCTCACAATACCTTCAACGAAATCGGAAAAAGCATCCCTCATCAGCTTCATGAAATCTGTCTACTCTTCCGTTGGTCCCTGGTACTATAGGTCCATGGTTTTTCCCGGTGAATGGTTTCAATCTCAAGAAAAGAAAAGTATCCCAAAAATTCCTCATCATTGTAAGCCACATGAATGTGTGCAATCGGCTGGTATCTTAAACAGGTCTGCTGGTCAGTAGTTTGCTGAAACAATGGACTGTAGTTGGTGGATTGCACACAGTTTCCTCGAAACCAAATGCGATGCTTCACACAATCAACTGATACCGAAATAAACCTAGGGAACAATCACGCAGAGACCTGTTGCGATCCACCGGCCGGTCTGTACGTTATGTCATGACTATGCGCACCAGCACCAATTTTTGTATAGGTGCTTATTTACTTGCGTTATTCCCTTAATCCTGTTAAATTCTACACTTCTAAATTAACAAATAATGATGGTTCATGAATATGCCCGTTGCCGAGCTCTTTAGACGATAAACCAGTAGTAAACTGCTGATTATGTGATTCTATAGTACAGTGGTAGAGTCACACAGTTGTTGATAATATATAGGGACAAATACCCTGTGAGACTCTCCAGTGCCTCCTCAATGATTCATCCGATGCCCGGTGAGTAAAATTCTCTTCAGGCACATTTACAGGTCCTTGTAACTGTGGTTCCAATCGACACAGTGGCCTTTTCGAACAACCCCATCCTGAGTCCGAAAGCTGAGATCCCCTGTACTTTTGTGCACATAATACATATATATATATATATATATACTTTTATTTATAATATAAATATATGCTATTATATGTACATACGAATGTGCCCTGTACCACATATGTTACAGTTCTCCGGATCAGTCTGACAAGTTTCAGGTTTTCTACTGAGGTTAAACGAAGATTACCATTTTGTAAACCCGCTTGAAGGCTGTCCCGTAACGACTTTTCGGCCGCCTTAGGCCTCGGTCTCTACTTTTCAAATGTGGAATTGGTCAATGAACCTGTCAGGAATACACCTCCCACTAACTGTTGTGAAAGGGCAAGGTTGAACCTAGCCTTAGTTCTGTACTCAGTCCTGAATGCACCACCTTCATGTGAACGTCTTTTTTATTCAGTGAAGCAAAGTGAAGCGATGGCGCGCCCGTTAATGTATCCAGTCAACAGATATCTGGTGAGCTAAGCTTTAGGATGACTGTAAATTCCCATTTTTTAAGCTGATGGGGCCTTTGTTGTTGAAGTCATACCGACTAATTCTACGGCCTTTGGTGTCAGTTGAGTGGAAGTCCTGGTCAATTCACACTGAGCAGCTCCAACTGAGATCCCGTGCCTCCTTACTTTGCTCTATCACATAACTTCCTATCGCAGCTAGGTACTAGACTCTTACGACTGAAAGCACATTACGTCCACGTACCTCGTCGGGCATGACGCTTCCCGGCAAGGTCTTTTAAATTCATACATTTGCAAAGATTAAGAGAGTTGTTTTTACAAATATGAATGAGCATGGTTTACATGAACAAGAAATCGAATGAGAGACGATATTGGCTATCTATCAAAAAACAGGATGACTTGAGCTTGTCAATGCTGTGGTTGTGTATTCAGCATAGGGTGTATGTATGGGGGGAGGTGAGTTGAAACATGGCAGCTCACGAACAAAGCGTTTTTGCTGACAAAGGATCGAGTCGCGATGTCTTATGACGATAGCTTCAGTCACTGCACAATTGCAGTGGTGATCTGAACAAGTTGTTCTTTGATGGGTAGCCAATGTCGTCTCTTAGTCGATTTCCTGTTCAATTAAACCATGCGCATTAATGTATGTTAAATACTGCTCTCTTAACCTTTACAACCTCTCTTAACCTGTACAACTGTGACTTGAAATGACCTTGCGAAAACATGTTCGTCGACCCATCTTTGTTCTTATTCTAAATGGGTATTTTCGGTAGAATTCACCATTTTAAAGTTGACCAAATGTTGATGTTTTCGGATTCTTCACATCATCCGAACTGACTTTTGCCAGTGCGTGTACGCATATTAATTTTTCGCATTTAGCATGGTGCTGATCCAACTATCCGGGATTTCCGTCAACGGCAAGTGTTGCATATGGCTGTTACTGGTGGCAAGGTTACTACCTTATCGCTGATGTTGAAACATCTTATACAACAGGGGAAAAAGCAGGGAGAAGGTCCCACCAGTCAGGCTGCACGTGACCTACTATGCCCCCTTGATCAATACGGTTTCAGTCCGTTGCACTTTGCCGCCTATCGTGGGCACCTGGACTGCGTTCAGGCATTGCTCAACGTTGCCTGTTACGAACGGCTTCGAGTGAGTCATGAATATTTACCGTATCACTGAATTTTTCGAAATTCCACGTAAGTAACAAGTGCAGTTGCAAATATACCTTACTGATTTACCAATCAGATATTCCAGGTGACCAAATGGTTCGTCAATACTTGGATGTGAACAGGGTGTCAGTTGAGATTCCCATTGACAAATAATGTGTAGTCCAAAATTACCCATACCTGAGCAATAAAATCGATAGGGTACAAGAGGGACGCAATACTTTTGGGTAACATAGAGGGAGTTCTAGTCCACAGTACGATAACTGCCTTTGCTGCTGAGAATAGTCTGAACAGCGGCATGACCGCACTAGGTTGTGACCCTGACTGAGGTTAAGGTGTGTGTGTGTGTGAACGCCGGGACAATATGTGAAGGATGCGTGCGAGGCTTTGAGTAGTCTGTCGCGTCGCTTCTAATCCAGTCTTCGGGAATAAGTAGAGCAGAATCTTGGTGTCTGCTGGTTATTCACAAGGTTACTTGACACTTCACCTACACTGTCCAAGTTGTAAGGTTGTTTTTTTGTAAATAAACAAACAGAGAATCAAACTAAACCATTGGTTCAAATTAAAATCTGAGAGGTGTCGTCCTGGAATGTGTAGAAGCGACAGCGGCCGAAAAGGAGCGACTTATGTTTAAGACCATTTGTGTTGTACATGTCAGAATCTGCAAGATATGCAATTAGTCACTGTGTTCTATAAAAAACGGGGTATTTAGAGCAATTCAGTAGAACACTACCGAAGGATTCTATTAAGACTTTTTGTAAGGACACACTGCTCTTGAAGCTGTTGAAAACTCGTCAACGAACCAAATTCAGTCGGATAACCATATAGAGATATTCCTTTTCGTCAAACCACTTGCAGACGTTGGACCGTTTGCGTGTTCTTACTGGTCTCACAATCCGCATATCAACCCTTCTCTCAGCCACACAATCAAATATGTACCGTAAGCCCTTTTGCGACAAACTGATTTGCAGCTTGAAGTAGACTGGAAGTTAGCCGATCTGAGACTTTCTCAGTGGTACCCGTTATCCACACTGCCTGTACCAGTCAATGACAGACTTATGCCGTGCTGAAAAATAAAAAAATCGCTCAGCTGTAGCACCATTTCGGTGCCTAAATGCCGTGCCACCGAAAGGAAGCACGAGGACCGGAATACTGCCAGGTTGCTTAAGCCTAGACAAGGAAGGTTGAGGCAGAGTTCGATTTCGAACCGTAGACCTTGCGGTCAGTAAATTCGCGCTCTATAACCACTGAGCTATCTCACCCCTGCACATCTCTTCACGTGTTGACGCCACAAACGTCGACAACTGAGATTTGTTTAAATTTGCTTAACCGTTTGTAAATAGTGCCGTAGACTTTCTTACCCAATTCTTCGTTTTGATATTCGAGATCGTCAAACCTACGCGTGGCTTAGAGTCCCGTATTGGAGATTTCAAAAGCCCGAAACGTTGCACTCTGGATACCTGATGCAGGCTATGTTCTGTCTAAGGTTAAGGCTACAAAGCGACAAATATATATTTATATGACCTAAAATCTAATGAAAATTGACGTTGGCATTCAAGTTTTCACGAAGTATTCACGAATCCCGCTGGGTTTCCTGTGTTCAGGATGCTTCCTTTCGTGTCAAGTTCTCCGCAAAGCAGCATATTAATGATTTACACGCACTCGGTTCGGTTGTGCAGTGACGGGTTTCTGATTAGTGACAAAGCCTACTGAACACACATTAATACTCATACTGGTGTTGACAAAGCTTCCTTTTTGTCTTAATTTTATTTCACTTTTTTTCTCTACCAGGGAAATGTGTACACACCCATGCATTGCGCGGTTCAGCAGGGACACAAAGAATGTTTGGTGTTACTTCTGAATCATTTCGGTCGATCATATCTCTCAACAAAGGATGCAGAAGGTCGAACTGTGCTCCATATCGCTGCTATGTCCGATCAGGTGAGTCGGGTGAATTTTCCGTTCTGGTTCTTGGATCTATAAACTTAAATCCTAAGACCTGAAAATTGATAACTACTCAGATACCGACTTTACACCAACCCGAGGAAATCGCCCCTTATCCACATCAGGAGAGGTAGCACTTGTTCCCACAAGGATGCATTACGCCACTGATCCAATTTGACGGGTTGACAGTCGCGTGCTATACCGCGAGTACTGCTGATACACTAACCCACTTCATCAGCGAGCTCCTTTTGCTGGGCTTGCATCGGTTTTACGGACATTTTCGTGTAGGACATTCCCCGTTGCTACACAGATCCAAGTCAAAGCCAGATTACACAACAAAGTGACACATTATAACTCGGTGTTTACAATCTTGTTCATTCGTCTGTTGGCTGAGCTGAGAAATTTGATTCCAAGCCTTTCATTACCCACCCGACTATATTAGTACGCTGTTAGAGGGTGTGCGTGTGTGTTGTGCGACAGCGTACACTGTTCACTCCCCCCGAAACGGCTACAAATCGTTGTATGACGATACACTTTCCTGCTAGCTTGATGTTCACGTGTCACTAATTGGTAAAACGCACGTGATGAGTTAGATCACTAACGGGTTGCGTAAGTATGCCCATGCTGCAGAGGTGCACTCTTCGCACTCCCGGGAAGCTTCTTGAAACACCTGACTACGTTGATAACCATAATATTTCAACGAGGAAAGTTATGTTATGGCTCCTTGTCAGCCTTACCATATGGGATTCCCGTCATTTCGGTATTTCACTTTGTGTAGAGAGTCTTGTCTCAGTTGCTATCTTGTTCCTCTTTGGGTCATATTTTCTTCTTTTTTTTGCGAAAATTCCGTTTTTCCCGAAAGCCTCGCGATTTTACCAACCTTTATCTATTACTGATTAAAAACGTAGATTGTTGCAAGTGAAATGCTGGCCTGATCCTTTTCGCTCTACGATGTTCAACCTCCTCTTCTCAAATCTCATCCATGTCAGCCCGGTGGTTTGAGTTCTGCGGTACATACAGCATGCGTACCAATGTATTTCTCCACAATCCTTCCCAAACTACACCTTTATTCTCGCCTGCCCCGGGAACAGAAAATTACAGCAACAACACGTGACTGCGCCACGAACGTATCGTGGCCAGGTCGTGACTGTTGAGGTTTCCAGCACAAATTCAACATGGTCGCTGATCTTTACCACAATAAAATGGTCAAGTGCAACATTTACTCCGTCCATAGCATAAAACACTGAGTGAATGTTTGTTTCAACAAGCACATCCGTCGAAGACAATAGGTAGCTGACGAATCATGCACATGTGCTGTCGTGTCATCGAGTTTGTGACAGCGATGAGAATCGTCCCACTTTAAACCATCCGATTTTGCGTTACAGCCTGGGGAAATTGAGTGTCATTCTGACACTCATTCATTCACACTCATTCATTCTGACCGAATTAATTTAGGGTACTTTTTGGACTATACTCGTAAGAACTCAATGCACCATGTTCGTGTCTTACGTGACTCATCTATCACAACATGATAGGATGCTACACAAGTATGGTGTAGAACGACTCGTGGGTCTACCTAAAGTGCCCAAGTGATTTGTAAGAGATTTTATCATGAGATCTTCAGTGGGATGATTCCTTAAGCTTGACAGTAGGGAAAGGGATATTGGTTCCAAATATGAAGGGTCTGATATGTTTGTGTCGTATGCCTGGAAAGATGACAATATCTACTCATCATCATCGTCATCATCGACAGCATGTCATCAGTGATCAACACCGATGCTTCACTGCCGTAACATACAATATCTACTGGTCATTATTGTTTCAATTAAACCAGATCACTCTAGAATTATGTTTGGATATTTATCTACAACAGCACTCAAAATGTTGTCTTACTTAGACAGCACCTGTGAGGGAATCGAGCCCGAATAAAACTTCTCTCGATTTCCTGCCTGTTGACATTCGCCAGTTTCATGTGATTCAGCTATATCCATTATATCCATCAGCTAGAAACATTGTTTCATTCGAATTGTAGCCCACATTGGGAAGTTGAGTACCCGTATTTGTTTCCCCAGATTATTTAGTCAGAAAATTACATCAATCTCCTAATCTTTCCCTATTATTACCCCATTTTGCCGCTGTATGTGAACAAGGCTGCTTGGATTCATAATCCTAGTTTCAGTTCATCAGTTCAATTGATCAGCTATAAACCGTTCACCACAAGCACATTAGTTCCAGCTGGGCGAGATGGCCCAGTGGTTAGAGCGCGAGTTTACTGATCGGAAGGGTCAGTGTTGGAACCCGACCTCTGCATCTTGACTTCCTCTATCTAGGCTTCGGCAACCTGGCAGTATTCCAGCCCTCGTGCTTCCTTCGGGTGGTATGGTATTTAGGAACCGAAAGGGTGCTACAGCTGAACGACGGACTGAGTAGTTCCAGCTGCCGCAGTTTCTATCACGGAAAACGGACATACAGCCTATTATTTGAGACGATGGTGTGTTCAATTGGTTCGGGAATCGGGTAGCTACTCCTTGAAAACAGTAGCTTTGTTGCACGAGCGCCATTGACTGCGCGATTGGGCAATTTCTGCCAGTGCCATTAACTTTTGGGGTCCCGGGGTCCCCATCCTAGGGGCAGCAGTTGCTGACCTGGTTAAGCTTACTGATTAGTGTTTTCTTACTTCGTAGCCAGGTCATACACTGTCTACCTCTGGGTTGCTTCTACTCAACAAGGCTGGGCGAAAAGAGCTCTGTGAGGCAGACGGTCTTCAGGCATGCTTTGTAAATGTCCTAACCAGCGTAACCTGTGAAGCTTGAGTATTTTATCTATCGCGGGGTTGTTGCTTCTTCCTAGGGCCATCTGATTTACTTCAGCATTATTAATCCTATGTTACCACCAGACCAGAACTATGCTTCGGAGACATCAATGGTTAAACAGTGACATCTTTCATGTGTTCTTTGCGCACAGAGGCCCTGATCCATAAAGTAGTATAGACTGCACTGCCGCAGTGTAAACTGCACATTTGACAGAAAACTGACGTCATTGCGGGGCCATAAGTGTCGGAGGTTGGTAAAAGCTGCCCTGGTCTTTACGTTTCGAGGATCAGTGTCATCTCCAGTTAATCCACCAGAACTCATACAACTATCGTCATGGACAAATTTATCTGCCACGTCGACTGGCTCGTTTGCAAGCGTTAGGTTTGGAGTTGGTTCCACCCAGCTTTGTGGCAGGACTTTACACCTTGCAGGTTTGAAGCGCACGCCAAACCGTGCGGCAAATTTATTTAGATTATTTAAAACAGTTTACATTTTTGAAGTATCTGAACCAAGGAGAGTAATGTCGTTCGTATACTCAATGTCTGTGAGATAATGTCTCTGGAACACTCCGACCCCTGAGGTTTTAGATGCAGGCCTAGAGATCTCAAACAGCGCATCCATAACAAAGTTGGAGAGAAAAGGTGAGGGAGGCAGTCTTGTTTTCCACCACTCAGGCGAATGTCCCCCGTATACCTGTACTCACCTAAAGTAGTTAGCATACACAGCCATCATAAGGGATACGAATTTGCATCGGACACGTCCGAAGTTTCTGACGATCGACAGTCAAAAGCAGCTTTCAAACCAATAAAAACGACCAAAGTAGGACGTCTGAAAAGCTGACACTGTTCAAAAAATTTGTCTCAAGGTGAATATATGGGCGATGCATCCTCAGCCAGATAGCACCTTAGATGCGACGGATGATGCCACGATAATTTTCGCATGACGTTCTTGTGACCTTTTCGAAGACTGGGTTGTCAGTCGAGGGGCTCCGACTCATCGTCATCGACATTGGTGTTCAACACTGATGCTCCGTTTCTTCTATAGGCATTCTGTCCTAAATCTGCTGCAGTATAGTTGTCCGACTGTTCACCAGGACCTTGCCACCTTTGAAGAGTGTGAGGTGCTGGCCATCGGCGTCTAGTCCCACCGGTCAAGACGACGATCACGAGAATGAATTACCGTTCCGTCTTTTTCGTATATTGTTTCATTGACACTTGCCTTCTTTTGACCGATTGATCGAATCAGTTGAACTAGAGTGAGGCTGTTGCTTTCAGCGAAAGCCTTCTTCATCTCCTGGGCATCCGAAATCCACCAGCGCTCTCTCTTATTCTCCAAGCTCCCAATTACCCGGTATCTGAGGGATGTACTTGCGCCATCACAGTCGGTAGTTGCTGGTATGGCTTTTCTGGCAGCAATAAGATCTGGTGATCTCAACAATATCCAGTATTCATTTAGTCGAGTCGGATGATTTGAACCAACATTTCCGAAAGCTGAGAGCAAAGCCTACTTGATACGCTTCCATTCGCCACACAAGCGATCTTCGTCACCCTCATCAGTGTGCCTTTCCAGTAGCTTTCTAGCCAGATCTAGCTCGATACTGTTGAGCTACTGAAAATTGTCGAATTTGATGAATGGAACTGCTTTGCTTTGGGACGCGTAATGCCGACGGAAACCGAAGCGATAACCGAGTTCACTCATTGGTATGATGAGAGACAGGTTGCGTACCCCCAGAAGGATCGATGATTATCATTCGATGAGTGGGAAGGGTGTGGAGGGAAGATCGATTAGCGAATAGCCGCAAGGGCGAATGAAACTACCCGATTACTCAAGCCGAAGAAGGGGTTTTTGAGGTACTCCACCACGACCGTTTGACTCCAAGGTATGACCCACAAGGTATTGGGGCGATGCAGGATTTTGTTCGGAAACCCTGCCGTTTGCCTCTAACTCTGAAGTTTAACCGAAAGGCAGCCGTCGTTAGGGTTTTCTTGTGGGGTGCTTCCCATAGCCAATAGTCTGACCCACCTGGCTGCAGGGTCCGACCTGGCCGGAGAACTCAGGGAGTTGAATATAACTGTCTCACTCTTAATTCAGCTGCGTGCAGCATGTGCTTTTTGAGCACTGCCGAACACTTCGCTTTTAAAAGTGTTTCGATCATCTTACTTAACGTGCCGGCGGTCACGGTCAACCGTTGGGCTATCAGAGTTTGCGGTTTTTTGGAGTCGACCTATTCAAACCCGTCTTTCTTCGAAGAAGGTAGCATGGCCGCTTCCATAAATATGGGTATACCGGTCGTCCTTGGAAGCGCCTTACTGCTTTCACGGTTTTATCTCAGAGGACAATACGACTTTACCTCGTAGTACGATTACTCGCAGTACGGTACTCGCTGTTCTAAGTCGGGATGTTACCCGTTGGTTTTCCTGGCATGGCTGAACATTTACGAACTGTGTTCTGTATAGGCCGTCGAAGATGCACTGGACATATAGAATTCTTATCAACGCTTTGCTAGGTCAAGACCTCACACTGTCGAAGTAACGAATGTTGAGGAGTGGTCGGCAACAATTGTTGAAATATCTCTCAATATCCCTCTCCATTACATTGTCACTCTGGTCGCAGAAGTAGGCCCTTAAATTATTCGACACTCCTAGTGGTAAGTTTCACTGTTTATGCCTACTTGCAAGTATAATATTTCATTTTCAGTGGCGTGACGCTTTTGCCTGTATTGATTGTGCTCACCTGTGTCATCCTCTTTTAGCTTGAATGTTTAGAAGAAGTCATGCGGCAGATGCTGGATGACCTTGCTCTCTGCAGCCCCGGTAGCATGACTCACGGCGGTATTTTGGATTCCTTGCCTATCGACAAACTCAGTCCCGATAAGTTGTTGCGTTTAGCATCCTTCGTTGGTGGCACAGACAATGTGGGTCACACCGCCCTCATGGTAGCCGCAAATGTGGGCGCGACCAGTTGCGTAGAGATGTTACTTTCAGTCCATGGAAGCCTGAGATCCAAACTGGCGAATATTTTGCCACCACAGTCATCAGACACTGAGGGCGTGAATCGGGAATCGGAAAAACTGTCCCATATTCTTTCCCCTGGCTACAGGGATAAGGACGGTCGGACGGCGCTGCATCATGCTTGTTCTGCTCCAGATGACAGTGCTGGTTTGGCTATCCTGGATCGGTAAGATTGCTAATCACTACCTCACACTTGGTGCACAATGTAGGTGTACTGTTGTTGTCGCTGGAGCTTTCCCAACTTCTCCTAATAATTCAAAATGATCCGGTATTACATCAAAGCAGAGACCCATATAAATCGAATTCCGGAGTCCAGTAAAGCTATTTGGCACGTTTTGTACTGATAGTAAATCATACGAACCTGACAAGGGTGTACGGTTTCATTGTCTATTTTGAGAGGAGATGTAGGGTTTTCATCGCTGACACGGCTCACTCAGCCCTCATGCTTTAGAAATGTGAAACCGGGTCACTAGTTACCCTTAGAATGATTTGTGAACTTTTACTGGTGGCCAATTATAGTGTTTTCCTCCTGAAAGCATGTAGATCTTTTTTGACGGCATTGAAGCATCGGTGCTTAACACTGATGTCATGCTGCCGATGATGATGATGGTAAGGATGAGGAGGAGGAATGATTTTTGAAAAGCGGTGAGTATTCTTGTCCTTCGTTGTCCCTCAGATTGCCATAGAACGGCCATCTGCTCGGACTCATGAGGGTCGTGACATTCTTGAGCATTAGTAATGTACTGACGTTAGAAGTGTCGCTCAGTCGTTGCTCGTGTACTTTGCTTGTCATTTTTCAAGCAAATACAAGGCTTTCACGGTCTGTTGGGAGTTAAAATTTTACACCAACTTTCTGTCCTCCTTTTCTCGAGTTTTACCAGTTCGGTTGACCTTTCAGTTTTGATCTGTTGTACCAGTATTTTGTGCATTCCCTTTATTTTTGGACGTCAATCACACCGACAATTAGACAACTTCTCCTCCAACTTATCCTTGTTTATCACACAATCTCAGTCATAACAGCTTTGCACTTAATGTTGTCGTATACAGCAGGTGTTGATGTCTACTCAACAGCGTCTTGTTTAGGACCTCCAGCATCTTAATCAATTACCGGAGAATTGTGTTATCGAATTGTTGTGCAACCGCACGCAATGTGTTTGCACTGTCGACTGGTAGAACAGCTTTTATCTAGCCATTCGAATTTCTCGTGGAAACTGGTGCCCATCTAATTCAGAATTCGTTATTCGGTTGCAGTTTTTATTGAAATATCTGTATACTGATCCTTCGACTCGGGCTTTCTTTCGAAAGTTTTGTTGTAGTGGTAGGATTTCACCAGAATCCTAGTCTCTTGTTCATGGCTGTGTATCAACCATAACCCGTCTTCGTCCGAATTTCTCCGCAATTTTACACTTGATCTACTTAGTACAAAGAAGTACGACGTGTAGCAAACGTATTACCTTCGCGTTTTGTCAGTTTACTTGCGTGTCCTTTTCCACGTATAACGTTGTTGGTATGCTCTGTTTCTCTCAAAGAATTGAAGACGAAAGTGTAATAATCCAACCAGATGGATCTCAACGTACTGCGCTTCATCTCACGATAGCCTCTGGCCTCGTCAATCTTACTGAGGCCCTGATCAGCCGCGGGGCCGATTTCTACTCCCAGGATACAGAAGGACGCATTCCTGTGCTGGCAGCTGCGTCCTCTATCCGGGTTAGTTAGCCTTCATGTTGGTTTCAGAGCATAGCTACCTATGTTTTCATTCTGCACTTATGTGTCGGCCCCCATACTTGTGATGCGGTTTGTCGGGACAAGTCACATTAGGACACGTTCGTCATTAAATCACTAGTTCGAAGTCACTGTTGAGCTAACCATGATATTTTTTTCTATTCGGTTCAGGTAGGCACAAACAACTGTGACATCCTAATGGTTACGCATGACTTGGCAAGGTGGTTTGAGCTTATGTTTGTCTGTACTTCACTTGTCCATTTATTTTGGTTGTTTGATGTGACTGTGCCTTTGGATTTCGGGTTCGCGACATCGGTCGTTCCACATTAGATTATCCTTCTCCCTGACATCCTGTTTCCATTAAGGTAAAGCATCGGTAGTCTGTTAGCCAGTTAGCTGTTGGAGCAATCCGGAGTAATAATCCGATCTCAGCTTCCACCACTGCTAGAACGATCAGTAAATGTGGCTTTTCCACCCGACAACGAAGATGTTCGTATTTTGCCCTGCATCCTCTTTTAATTGTATTGCTACCGTAGGGGGTGGAATGATATGGTGCACTATAGGGACCGCCACTTACGGGGTTATGTTGTCTGGAATGGCAGGTTCTTAGAATGCCTTCTATAAAGCAATAAAATAAAGCGCATTGCCAGGTATCAGCTATGGCCCCTATACCATCGTGCAGCGCGCATCCATCAGCAAGCCAATTTCTGTATGAGTTTGTACGTGCTTTTGATCTGTGTTTATCTTTCTCCGAACCAAGACTTAGGCTGATGCCCCCGAACTACATTTTCCTGGTAGTAGTCGATTCATCCTGACGTACGTATCCATTGCCGGTCAACTGCTTTGAAACTGGTATCCTCGGAGCTATCGCTTTCTCATGGTGCACCTCTACCCGTTCCCCAAAGGCTTCCTTATACCTGGAATGATTCATCTGGCAAGGGTTGATCTGTTCGTGGACGTCGAGGTTGCGGAGACCATTTTTTCGCTGGAAGTGCGTAGAGAGAAAATGACGGTACAATGGCCTATTTGTAGCTGTTTGTTTCCCTTGGAGTAGCCCCATTTCCAACGCAGGTTCATGTGTTCACCTCAGGTTCACCTGTGTGTTCACCACAGGTTATGTTCGTTCAGTCGTCCTAACGCAGTATTAGCTGGAACCTGACAATATTTTCCATTAAGCCCTTCTGATAGAATCCAAACGTTTGGAGATCTTGTAGTCGACATAGCCTAACTCATTGTCTTAGTTGATAAATGACGGATCCAAAATGAGGTGGGTGCCTGTTGGGAACCATTGTAATTATATGGGGTGTGCGTAGGAACAATCTTGTTTCCCTCGTGCTAAGATAAACAAGCTGTCATATAGACAAAATCGCACTGAATATGATGGATGTTCCCTTCGGAGACCTATCCCCAAATAAGATCCACTTTCTTATTATCTACCTTTGACCTGGATCGATATTTTGCAGTCGTTTTGCCAAAACAACATAGTCCCAACAGGACCACTGTTACTATATCAAGTCAAAAAAAACTCTGTGTGCGATGTGTGCTAAACTCAGAGCCCATAAACTCCTGGTGAAATAACTATATTTCCGCACACTAACATAGGAGCAAAATCATTACTGCTATTTGATTTCAGCTTCCTGTGTTCTTCCTGCTTGATCCCGAGAGATGACAAGAATTGCACTTCTCATTTGCTTACATCTCTCCCTGCTCGTCCATTTTATCCCGGTATTATGTATGACTGCTAACAGACATGACATATTCAACTCTTGCCCTACCAACTCATCTAACTACTTTCTATGTACGTTCCAGGTTGCTAATTGTCTTCTGATTAGCTTGGCTGCCATGTTTCCCCCGATCGGTGGTCCAGTTCCAGAAAATCCTTTCGTTCGTGCTAGTGGCTCTTTGTTATCCAGCAATAAACTATCGAGAAAAAGCAGTTGTCATACAGATGATGGGCGAGGTCAGTCGGTTGAAAAGCACGTCTCGATGGCACACAATTCAGACACACACCGTAATATCTTGATGAGTACACCCATAGCCGATCAAGCAAACACGTTGCCTAATGAGGTGATCGAAGGTGACTCGTCCAGCAGTACCCCGCCCCTTCAGGGACCGTCACCATATCCAGGTTCGGAATCGGATTTCTTTTGACTTTTTTTTTATTATTCCATACCCATTGCTACTGCAATATTGCCAGAAAATCTTTTTTCTTCTCACTACCCCCGTGTGCATTTATCAGTAAGAAGACGGCGTTCATTGTTTTGTTTTTCGAGGTCATTGAAACTTTAACTATCTTCAATACACTTTTTACAAAGTCGTATCCTTATTTATCCTGTAAATGTTGGGATTATGGATTTTATGTAAAGTTGGCCCACAGGAAGTTTAGCCTTAAGTACAACTCTAGCTTATGATCAGAAGCATGAGTTGCGGAAAGCCATTTGTCTCCAATCCGTAGCTGGGTCACTAGGCCCATTTTTAATTTTGACATAGATGAATTGTGGTTCAGTATTTGTGACTCGTTTGATATCCCTCAAAATGAGCAACCAAATCTGAAACGAATGTCGAACGATCTTATGTGTTGGAGGTGCCCGCGTGAAACCTATGCTTCATAGAGTTTGCGGTAAAGAATTTCACCATATTACTGTTTTTCCCACATCCCTATAGATGTGCTTTTCTCTGGTTACTGGTCTATTTAGTGAGCTTATTTCCCTCCTCGTAGCGCGCTTTGTACTCTACCAGACGGCTTGTTTATTGTTTGGGTCCCTTGGACAGTAGCCCGAACGAGCTCAGAGTAACATATCCTCTTCTGGTAAACTAATTTTGAGATGCGGCATGTGGAATTGATGTTTGCTTGTTGATTACTTGATAAAATTTGTCCTTTGGTGAAAAACTTGGAAGTAGTTAAACAGTTTATGCTGACCTTGGACAGTTTGCTGTTAGTCGATTGAAGTCCCATGCCATAGTGACCAAAACGTAAAACCTATTCTTGAAACAAACTATATAAGCAATTCCTCTGCTATCCCCACCAACAACGGTGTGGAAATCTCTACTTACGCGGTAGAAGTGCCGCATCAACAACAATGTTTTGTCACCTTTCTCATCTTTCTTCGGGGTCATTAGGTAAGCGTTCTTAATTGACCACTAGATTGTACACAGGTGGCGAACTAAATTGGCGCTGATGAGAAACTTGGGTCTTCTACCCAATGAGCTCCAAGAAGGGCCAAACCGGTCTTGGACCGTCGAAAAATTTTCAGCAACCCTATGAGTAGTGTTCTGTCAAGAAGATATGCTGTGATATCTTGGATATCAAGCCAATTGAAACATGCGACGGCCTTTGTGCAGCGCCTTCAGATGAAAGCGATCACAAACGAGATGTGAACGGGATTCATTCGAGTCTCCCATTAACATCAACCCGCTTCGTAAATGTGAGCCTCTTTATGTGAAAGGATTGGTTATTTTTGTGAGAAGTTCATGTCTACATTTCAGCCAACATGTCGCGTTACCGTGACTGGTGTGTGCATAGGGCTAATCAACAGCTTCTGGCAAGGGCAACGTCAGTCTGGTCCTCAACATCTGTCGAGCAGTATGCGTCGGTCTACCGGTCGACATATATGGGCCATCGTGAAACGGTAAGCCCTTCTTCATACTTATTGTGTTAAGTGATATCAACACAATTGGATGAAAAACCCAAAGTGGAAATCAACTGGGCTGAAGAGACTAAACGCCACTCCAGAGATCAGAACAAGGTAACGGGCCTAGATGCCAGGAATCTTGACTGACATTGCAACAAATTTTGTAGAGGTGTGCAGAATGTTCACCCAGCAATAGCTATTTTTCCCCTTCACGTAGTGCTGTTCGTGTGGATTGTCCTCGATTGTAAACAGTTTTCTGTGATTTATCCTCGATCATATTAGTATTTTCGTGAATAAAATTGAAACATTTATTTTTGACTATCAGGTTTCAGAGGGCCGAATAGCACTTCCCCTTACCTGTGTATTGATGGCCCTCGTGATGAAGTAACGAAAAGCCCGATCTGAGTGCTGTTAGCCAAAGTTCTTTTTAAGCTGGTTGCCTTGCATTTCACAGGAAGACTGGAGAACTGGTGAACAGTTAGTGATAGTCCCAAATGTCACATTTCAATCGTTTTTCCTTGAAGAGGCCTTTGTTTGTCCGGTAGGGACATTTCATGTCATTTTTGCCGCCCAGTTTGTGGTCGCTCACACTCTTCCTCAGGGTCTTGAATTCTGTACTCGAATGGCCCATATTTGTTGCGACAAACCTTGAACCTGGGCCAAAATGTCGACATTTTTCTCTTACGGAGCATAGGTGACTGCGGGCGCCGCCTAAGCCAAGTATCGAGTATCACCTGAGGCTCAGGATTGTGCAATATGCTCCCCTCCCGTCTAACGCTGTACATTCAGATTATGCACTTCATACTTGTTTTTCATTACTTACTCATTTCATAGGTGTAGGGAAGAACGCTGATCTTAGGCCTCTTTTCGAGGTGATGAAAGGACGGGAAACACAGTGACGTCGAAACGTTTAGGACACAATTATTGAACATATGAGTTACGGAGTGCGGAAGGCCTGTACAGATAGACCTCAACAGCAGTTTTAGTCACTTAGGGAACTTGGGAAAGTAGATGGAGCAAGAGTATCCCAGAGCGTAGCACTCCTGAGGATTAACGGGAGAAGAGTCGTTTATTGCAACGTCGAGTGACTAAGGTCGGAAAATTTATGTTGAAGGGGAGAAATGAATAGGGTGTTTGGATGGTTTTGGATGTGGAACTGGTTGGACAATTTCCGGGAAGTCGTTAATCACGGTAACATTCACATAGTAAAGCGAGGCTATATTCCTACGGTTGGAAATTGGTCTAAGGCAATTACCAGTCAACTGAAAGGGGACAATGATCCGCACAACTTCCAAAGTAATCCACTAGTGAAATATGCGGAAGAAAGAGCCCTATCTCATGTATGACAAAGTTATCCATCGGGGAGCGAATTTAGGAACTACAGGTTAGCTCAAGTTAGGGCTCCCAGAATAAGTTCTGGGATAGCGAAAAAACGTTTTTAGAAATGTTAGTCGTCCTTAATTTTTCATGGAATGGTCGCGGGAGGTCACTCTAAAACGATTAATCAAGAAGCTAACAATTCAGGTTTGGTGGAATGATGCCCCATTCCACGCTAAAGGCGAGGTGGGTCGTGAAGGTAGAGGGCAGGTTGGGATGTGCATGGGTTCCGAAAGGTTGACTGTAGCTAGGTCAGATGGACCACAGCAATAAATGCTCATCACGTCGTTATTTAGTGTGTTTATCCTCCACACAGTTCCATCACAAGTCATAAGAAACTCAGGTCTTTATGATGGGCAAAGTATTTGGTTAGCATGGTCGGGAATAGCATAAATACAACATGAGAGATGATCCACGCCTGAAGATAGGATGTGCATGTGAATTCCACTCTGAGCAGCGAATGGAACTGGAGAACAGCTTACCTAGCCAGTTCTAGAATGCAATTCCGGAACAAGATACGACCAAAGTAGAAGGCTTGGATATATTAAGAAAAAGGATATGGAAAACAGTCATTGTAGTGTCCAAGTGCTTGATAAACCAGGAGAGGAGTTTGGGAGATATGCTGGAACTACAGACATAGCATGAGAGCAATTGGTCTCTCTTCTATGGCAGGGGAAGCGACATCCCCTTTAGAACAGAAAATCCGACTAACCGCACTCGCAGGAATCCCTGTTTTCATTCACTCCTGGGAAAGGAGCTAAAGACTTCAGGTTTGGAAAAGTGGGAATTTAATGCAGCACTCCGCCATATTGGACATAGGTAGAGCTCTCGGCTAGGGGGCGGGTGCAGTTTCCCGAGAGATGTGTAGCAGAACACTGCCGCGCCACCTCTCAGTGCGCTGCTTACCAGGTGGGACTCAACGTTATTAATATTGATGTCCAGAGTCACTCGCCTAAACTTGAAAAATGCACTTCCGGGCTGTAGAAATTTATTATTCATTTAATTCCTTGTTTATCATGTTTCATTCATTACGGTTAAGGGGTTGATGTCTCCACAACTGTCGCCCGTTGGTGCTGACTACGATTGTAGTATGCACGCTATGGAAGCACGAACGGACAGTGGTTCTCCGAAGGCAGGTGTTCACGACAATTTCTGTGGGTGGGAACCAGAAAGAATGTTCACGAACCGAAACCCAGTAAGCAACATACATCAATCGAGGTAGCATACACTGTACACGGAAGTCGATTCATGCACAAGCCAAACTGAAGCAAATGATTGGCTGGTCCTAGTCACGTGATCTATACCGAAACGTACAACCACTGCATACGAGGCTCAGCTGCTCAAGAGAAATTTACACCAGTGGCCGCTCGTGGCTTGGTGGGTAAGCGGGGTAAGCCTGGGGAGCGTCCCTGGTGGTTCGCGGTTGAAGTCCGGGCGACGTCGCTCGACACCTTTTCAACTTTCCCACTTCATAGGATGCTACTGCTTTTGCTGAGTCATATAGCACTAAAATATGGTTCACCAAGATGAAAACAACCCAACGTTCCGAGTGCGAAGTCTTATCTATGGTTACATATCCATGACTATAGTTAAGTTTGAATCGAGATTTCCGAAAACACGAATGTCGAGTTCCTCCCAAGCTTTAACTGAAAGAAATGATGTGGGTAGTCAGAAGAAGGTTGTGTGAAGAAAGGCAGTTCGATGGATACGTTACGGTTCGCGGATACATTCTGTGATGTTAAGATTTTTTATTTTACAAACGTCCTATGGCACGTATTTCACGTGAAGAAGGAGAGGTATCCGGCAACAAATTATTAAAATTGTTCCATGCTATTTTCTCGCTTGCACTGAAAGTCCACCTTCTCTTGGTTTATGCGCTGCAACCATTTAATTCGATTCTTTCTTGGCTTGCGCATAAATGCAATTTGAACGTGCGCGCTTCCTGGCTTGTGCATAACTAACCAATCAGAATGCTGGCTTGTTCATGAATCGTATTGTAGTATACGGTGTCTGCCATTTTGATTGATTCATATGTAAGTATTAGTGATGTACAACCTTGCTTACTGGCCTTTGGCTCATGAGCTTTATTTCTGGATTCCATCCACAGAAAGTGTCGTGAACACCTTTCTTCGGAGAATCACT